CTGTTTGTCTGTGCTGAAAGTTATGTTGTTGTTAGTCATATTTGTTAACTTACAATTTCATCAATATGTCGTGTGGTAATCATTATGTCTTCACTTATAAAATGATTATGTGTTTTATCACAGACATGTGTCAGGCGAGATGTTTTCAGCTTGCTCTTGATCTGTGATTAAACCGTGTCCTTCTTTCTGCACAAGACTTCAAGTGAGACAGATCCTCTCCATGTTGCTGTGGAAGTGACATCTGAACCTATCAGTGACAACATTCAGGTAGATTATTACAAGTGATAACATTCTGTTTGAAAATCTTCAAGATTTGTCTGCAGCATAAAATACATACGCATCCTATGTAAAATATAGTTTTCTTTCACCATGTCTTTAAGTCACATGTACACACAAGCACACACACATACTGAATAAATAATTTTATGTATTATTTTTGTTGTTGTAGTCAGTTGAAATGGATTGTCCTGTCATGGACATGATCTCTGTGATGGCCGACAGTCACATGGACAACATTAATCAGAAATAAATAAATAATAAATAATCTAAATAATTTAATCTCTTTAGCTTGCCTATGTTAAACTGGAAAAACAATTGTATGTTGTATATTCTATCTCGGCTCAGCCTGATGATGATGTCCACATTATGAATGGATAATAATCACAAGTGCTAGCTAAACATTAGTTTATTTACAGTTTACCTGTATTATGTCTGTATAGTTACTGTTGTCATACTGTGGAGGATGAACAGTAATCAGTGTTATGTGGGTACATTTGGATGTTTATACCCTAAATGTTTGCTTGCTTTGCACTGCAACACATAAGTGACACATTTAGTTGGCTGTCATGAAATTCTATACATATGTTTGATTACTTGCTCTCCAGGTAACCTCTAAACGCTTTTAGACTTTTTTCAGTTCAGAATGGATAACAATAGAAAGGCTCACATTCTTGTTTACAAATAGCAAAATACATAAACTACATCTTTTTTTTTTTTAGATCTTAAACTGCAGTAATTATTTTTCATTCAGACAGTAAAGACAGTGCTTTGAAATTTACATGTCTTCACCAAATCAGAAAGGTAATGTAATCCCTTATTTTTGTCAACAGAACTGTAAACATGACTTGGTCTCCTCAACCTTCTCCAGCTTGGAGAAATGTGTCCATTGTGGTGGACCTTTTGCCCCTCTTAAGTGGCTTGGATTAAAATGTGAAGGTGAGTATTTCGTTTTGATAAACAATGTATCCTTTTATTTTTTTTTTTGGCTGAATGTTTCATATTTAGTGTTCCAATTTGTCTCATCCTTTAAAAAAAAAAAAAGAAAAGAAAAATGGTAATAACCAGTAGGGTCCGACTAATATGGATTTTTTGAGGCAGATTCTGATATTTGGCAAAGAAGAATTCCTATAACCGATCAATCGGCTGATTAATTTAAAAAGTATGTAATGAATAAAATAGCTTCTTTTTTGGTCCCTTGATACTTACAACAACAAAGATATGAATCACAGGCAGAACATTTTACTGTTTTACAATACTTTGTCCTTTAGTATTTGTTTAACTTTACAACAGAGAGGAATTTCAAGTACAAAAACATGCAACAAAGCATTAAACAAAAAATGCATCAGTTAAAAAAAAAAAAAAACGTTTTCCAAACAAATATGTTTGTAATGTGGAGTATTTTATCTCAAATTTACATTGTGCATTTGTCTTTCTATGGAGCATGAATATAGCTACAAGTTGTACTGATGAATTTATCTTTTGGTTTAGGCCACAGGTGTATGCTGTGCAACATAATGAGTGAGGTTACTGGCAAAACATTATTAATGCAGCCCTCTGATGTTCTGTACTTTCAAAGACGGTGCTGTTTTTAAAGTTGATGAGAATAAGCTAATAAAAAATGTAAATTAAATAAGTTAGTTAAAAAATTGTTTTCTGTAGTTCTCTGAAAACCCGTCAGAGTGAGTGCTCTATGTGCTATTTTGGTTTCAGACTTTGTGGCAGAGTGAGAGATCTTACCGCTATACGCTCCTAAACTATCTTAATTCTTCGTAATCTCCATGAGCAAAGTTTGACTTGTTTCAAAATCAAATTGTACAAAGTGACTGAAAAATTAAGAATATATCAGCGATTAATCTGCAAAACTCCGGCTGATTATGAGTATTTTGAAAAGGGCTATAATCAGCCGATTTAATCGGCCAGCCGATAAATCGGTTGGCCCTAATAACCAGTATCCATTATTGGGCAACTTCTTGAGTTCTCATACAAACTTTATAATGAAGTGTTTGAAATCTGTCATTTTCCCCCTCGTCAAATTCATAATTTAATCCTTTGGATGCAAATAAATACTTTCAAGTACATGCACCAACTTTCTTCTTGTGTTCTTCATATCCTCTTTCTAGTGTGTTCCTGCTTCTGGCACAAGTCCTGTTATGTTCAAAACATAAACACAGACCATGAACTCCTACCAGTAAGTATACACTGAAAGGCGGTCAAGTAGAACATGTCGTCACCTGGCCAGGAGTCCTTCATAGCACATCCAGGCCTGTGGATCATTTATACTGAACCTTATGAGTAAATTGCATGTTTTTTTTTTCCTCCCTGTTTTTCTGTCTCTCTTCCAAGATGGACCTGCTTATTGAGATGGACTCAACTACCCTCAGTGCCTCCGTCAGTCACCAGCCCTCCTCAAGCTGTGTCGATGAGATTCCCCGTCTGAAAGCTGAAACGTCTAAGAAGATGTCGACGTCCTGCCAAGGTCTTGAAGATGCAGAGTTATTCAGCAGTGGATCGGGTGAAGAGTATCAGCCCTCATCAACACCATCAAGCAGTGACGAGGAAGCACTTTCAGGGCAGCTTGAGTCATCTACACACATAATTGCAGAGAAACACCACCATTGCCTGTCATCCGATGAACGAAAAACTAAGGACATAAGGACCAAAGCTACGTCACCTCATCTGCCTGACCAAATAAAAGTAGGAAAGAAGCAGCAAGGTCGTGACCAGAAGGAACAAGTTACCATTAACACACGCCAAAAATTCGGTGAAAAGACTCGAGGCAAAGCTCAATACTGCGTGTATTGTGAAAAGCGAAACGTGAAGATCGCAAGACATTTGCAGAGAAAACACGAGGATGAAGCTGACGTTGCCCATGCCTTTAGTTTTCCGGTTGGCTCCAAAGAAAGGAAGATGCTGCTGGAAGCCCTTCGCAATAAGGGCAACTGGCAACATAATCTTAAGGTCTTCAAAGAAGGAAATGGAGAGATTGTGACTTGGAAACGGCCCTCTGAAAAGGCATCTGTGAATGACTATCTACCCTGCCCACAATGTTACGCCTTGTTCAAGAGGACTGACCTCTGGCGACATGAGAAAACATGTAGAGTTAGAAAAGTGGAGAAAAAGGGGGAGAAAAGAGGAAGAGTCCAAAAAGCTTCCTCACTACTCCTTCCAATCAGGGAGTCCTCAGATGGAATTCAAAACCTCATTCATACCATGTTACAAGATAAGGTAACCTGTCAGATTAGAAGTGACACAATGATATGCAAATATGGAGATGCACTATTTGCAAGAAAGGGCCGTGAACAATCTCAACACAGATACATTGCACAAAAGATGAGAGAACTGGGGCGGTTTGTGTTGGCCGCAAAGGAAATTGACAAGAGTGTCCACTGTCTGAAAGATATGTGTGATCCAACAAAATTCGATTTGACCATAAAAGCAGCCAGAAGACTGTCAAATTACAGCGCAAGCACCACTGAATATGGAAAGCCTTCCACTGCAGTCAAAATTGGATTTCCGCTCAAAAGTGCAACAGAAGCATGGATTGGACATTGTCTGATGACATCAGATGTTTTAGGTGAAAAAAAGGCCAAAAAGTTTAAGGAGTTGTTAGACAACTCTTGGTCCAGTTATGTGTCAACAAATGCTCACAGTACAATGGAACAACGGCGATGGAACAACGAAGACTGTGTGCCTTTGACGGAGGATGTTATTACTCTGCAAAACTATTTGAGGAAGATTGAGGATGAGTCAAAGGCAGAGTTGAAGAAGTGTGTAAGCACCACGGCATACAAAAGGCTATGTGAGAGCCTTCTTGCACAAGTGATTGTCTTCAACAAAAAACGGGAAGGAGAAGCATCGCGGCTAACCCTAGAGACTTATCTGAAAGCAGACACTGGCCCGGTGAATAAAGACATTTATGACACTCTAACACCTGTGGAACAACAAATGAGCCACAGACTGACACGGATTGTGACACGTGGGAAGAGGGGTCGAAAAGTGCCCATTTTGTTTCTTGAGCGCGCAAGAGCCTCTCTTGATTTCCTGATCAAAAATCGGAGTGCTGTTGGCATACTCGAAGACAACCCATATTTGTTTGCTCGGATCGGGACAACAACTAACATCCGTGGGTGTGATTGCCTCAGGAAATACGCTGAAGAGAGCAAGGCAAGCAACCCAGGACTCTTGAGGTCAACAAAACTCAGAAAGCATGTTGCTACTTTATGCCAGCTTCTCGACCTTGATCATCAAGAACTGGAACAAGTAGCTCGTTTCATGGGACATGACATACGAGTCCACTGTGAATATTACCGCCAAACGGACAGAACCTTTCAGGTGGCCAAGATTGGAAAACTTCTGCTTGCAATGGAGCACGGAGCACAATCTCTCAGAGGGAAGAACCTGAACACTCTGGACTCTGTAGTCTTTGGTATGTTGATATAAGTTTTCATTGTACTTGTTTTTGTAGACATTTTTGGTATTTGACTATATATAATAAATAAAGGCCACACTACATTTTTCCAAGTAAATGTCCTATTTGGGATTAACAAAGTGCAGTGTCAAAGCAGCTGTCAACCTGTTAATTCTGACTTAATGCAGGGTTAAAAGTCTCCTAATTTCCCTTGTGAACATTTTCATAGATAAAAGGCGTGAAATCCCTCCAACCAAAGATTTAAGAAGAGGCAAAGAGGGACAGACATCAGTTGCAGACCGACCACTGGAAGATGATGTTGGTAAGTAATGTGTGATAATATTCACCTAAACAATGAGTGTGGGTGGTGCTTAGTGCAGATTTTTCAGTTCTGATTATGCTTTCTATCTCTGTCAGATGAGGATCAGCAGCACCTGTCCACCACAAGCTCACCTGTTGAGAGACAAAAGAAGACTGCTACTAAAAGAAGGCATGATGATAATACTGGGAGTGAAAGTGACGTGGGTAAGTCCATTACAACACAAATGTTCTCAGTAGAGTTCAGTATTGTTTCACTGTGCAAGTGTCATCTTTCTTACATGACATTCGTGGACATTTGAGTGCTTTCACTTCACTAAAAAATAATATTTCATAGATAAGGAAGAGCAACAACAGACCCCCAAAAGGCCCTGTGTTGACTGGAGTGATGATGAAGTGGGTAAGTCCAGGCATTGTAATCGCCAGACATGGTCTCAGTAAGAGTTATGTATAGAACAAGTAGATGCTTTGTGATTCAGTGGAAATATTATAACAGACTTGCGTTTATAATTTACCTTTTGCTTTAAAACAATTTCTATTGGGATACTAGATTGATGCTTAACATGTTTATTCCTGTCTGAAGCGCACACTGCGATGCCGTGTTGTCTCTGTAAAGTTGCATCTACCGTGACATTGTGGTCCCCTGTCCACAGGCCACATGACAAATCTACTGAGTGTTACAATAAAAATGACAGAAGTACCCACAAATCTCAGACTTGAAATAAAAAGAACAATGTTATATTCTGGGCTAGAGACTATTGTTTCACTGCCTTGTTGCTTCCTTGTCAGATGGAAAGGACCAGCCCGTGGACATTGCACCCCGTCTTGAGAGGCGAAAAAAGACCTCAACTAAACAAAAACCTGAAGAAGATTCAGGTGAGTCCAGGTGATTTAAACAAGTGACTCAGAGTCTTCAGTACTTTAACTGTACTAATGTCAATTTTCAGATGAAGAGGAACAAAGTGTCACTGCTGCACCGTATGCAACGGGTGGAAAGAAGACTATAATGAAAAGTGGAAAAACAGGTATGTTTTCTGCAGATTGTACAATTAGTACTTGCTGACAATGCAGAAGTCACTAGGATGACTGTCAAAATAAGGCCCAAACCCTTGATTGCAATCTATGGTGTGTGTGGCACTAAGCGCATTGTCTGTAGAGGCATGTCTATTTTATTCTAAGGTAGAAAGACTGTGCAAAAGTCTAAGAAGGATGGACTTCACTCTCTGCATTAGTCATGGGTGTATTCAAGGCGTGTCATCCAATCAGTGTGTCAGCTCTCATTCCCCTTAAGAGCAGATGTTTGCCGTACGCTCTGCATGAGGCCTAGTTGTTAGTCTCACAGCAGAATTAAAAAGGAGTGATTCTCCTGCTGCTCCTGTGGTGTAATTCAGCAGAAGAGTTACAATAGCTAACATATACATCAACATTGCCTGGGCGCAAGTGCATTTCTTAGTTGGACAGCGAGGCCACGGAGCAGAAAAATGACAACTGCATTAGCGGGAATAAGCAAAAACACCTGCATCACACCACAATGATACTTGCGCCATAGACTTTAGACCATCAAAATAAGGCCCATTATGTGTTTTTGTTGTACAGGTTAATTTCATAAGTGTTGCTATCTGATTGGTAGGATGTTTGTTACGGTGTGTGTGTATTTTTTTATTCTTTTTTTTTTGTCTAGTAGTTGCAGGAGTTACTGAACATCGGTGGTGGTACTTTCAATTTTTTTCCACAAGTAAAAATTGTGATAAAATGCTATTACAGGTCCTTTATTGAAAATATTAAATCATAATTTGTGAAATTTGACCCATAAAAAGTTTTTGTAATAAAAATGATTTACTAGAATGAGTGGCAATTAATTTTCTGCCAACAAAGTCATTTGTAAAGCTGTACTTCCATTTATGAACTGTTGTAACATTCCCTGGCTGGGGTTGATTCTTGTGACAGGATGCTCTGAATTTGATATCATCCTCTGAATAAAAATCTGTCATGTCTGTTAACATTCATTATTGTCCTTTTATGTAGAATCTTTATTTTCTGATTTTATAGATAGAAAAATCCAAGTTAAGAGACCCTGGACCAAAGAAGAGAAGGATGCAGTCCAGCAAAGGATGACAAAGTTCATCGCACTGAAGAAGGTGCCAGCAAAGCATGACTGCCTGCTGTGCATTAGTAAAGTATCGCCGGTCCTGAGCACTCGGACGTGGAAGGACGTGAAATATTTTGTGTATAATGAGATCATCAAAACTAAGAGAAAGCTTGAATTTTAAAGAGGTGGAATTACTAAGTTGGCATATTTTGTTAAGGTATAGGGTTTTCTCTTTTTTTTTTTTTTAAATTCTCTTTCGTTGCTTCACTCCAGTGAAGGAAACTGGGTGGTCATGTTTTGAATTGTTTGTTTGATCATGCCTATACAGTATGCATTCAAATATTATTCCAAGCACTGTATAGTAGCTGTTCTAATTAACTGCATATATGTAGGGCACTCCTGTTTGGTTTGGTGTCTGAAAATAAACCCTATTTACCTGTTTGCCAATTGATGGTAGATGTTTGGTCATTTCAACTGGGGGTGTTTCTGATAATGTTCTGTCAATATGGCATTTTAATGGCAATTTTGGTAAGATAAATTGCCCTTCTAATGAGCAATTTTAAAAGTAAACAACTGTCATTCATTACAGGTCATAATTCATATATGAAAATGACATCTTTGTTGGCCACTAAATGGGGAAAGGGTATTTATGATGTATTCTGGGTAAAAAAAACAAACAAAAAAAACCCTAATTGTCCATAAACGTCAGTAGTAGCAGTAATATACTTTGCATTAAAAAAAAAACACAAGCCAGTCCTCACTCTGTTGGATAAAAACTCTTTCCTGAAACTTTATTTTACAAAATCTGAGCGAATGTACAGTATGGTCGTGCTACCTAGTGTTCAGAAATGCTTACTTTGTGTTACATGTGTATATGTTAGCTAGAAATGCCGGTCCTCAATTTGTGGGTCAGTTTCCTTGTCCCTTACTATGTCGCAAGTACAAGAAAACACTCACTCTGCCCTTAGTATGTAGCAAGTACAAGAAAACACACACTCGGCCCTTAGTATGTAGCAATCACAAGATAACACACATTCGGCCCTTAGTATGCAGCAAGTACAGGAAAACACACACTCGGATCTTAGTATGTAGCAAGAAGAGAAAACACACACTCGG